GCTTATGTTATTTTGTTCAATGAACCCTCTCAAAAGATTTTATTTAAAGTCGATATATTGTATTAAACAGTAAAACACAATACAATTTTCAATATCCATTGGGCATTCCTCACTCAATGATTACAGTAATACTAACTAGAACCAACAGCAACCAAGCTTATATAATTATTTATTTATTTATTTGAATACTGTACCTACCTTAACCAAGCGCCCCTTTTTCATACTGAATTGACACTTCTTCCTTATTTAGTGAATCAGCAGCATTTGGGCGATTTCCTTTGCCTTGAGTCTTCAAATTATTCATTTTGGCACTTAGCACATCACGATAATGTTGACGTTGTAGTGTTTTTCCTGTAGGTAACGGTCAATGCTGGATTGTAAACACCTCAGACTTGATGGTTCGTACTCAGATTTATCGTTTTTTCTGACGTTCATGAAGAACCTGGCCATGTAATCCGCCAACTGAACCGAGTAAATAGACTCTGGAGATATCCACTCATTTTGAGACATCAGATATTTCGTGAATATTTTGATGTAGGATTGCGTTTTTCTCGCAGTATTCTTGTTCCTCATGCTTTCCATGAAAGCTTCTGTATCATTGATAGCATTAGTAAACCGTTCACCTGCATCCATTACACGTTTCGTCTCCTTTTCCAGGATTAATTCATCTAACTCGACAATCCTTGCTGCCAATTCCTCTAAATTCTCCTCGCCAGTCGCCATCGTTGTTTACGGAGTTAATGTACGCGGCGCCATCCGGAAATTTAGGTAGGGCTTTGTAAATCAATCTTTAAATTATTTTCCATTAAACCGCAGTTATTCCATGCCAACAATTTGTTTGTTTACAATAAAATCAGACAGTAATAAGCGGAAGCGGCAAAATCCGGAAATTTGGGAGGGGGTGTGATATCACTTTTCTAGGGGATGTGATATCACCCGGGCTGATATCAACTTGTTGACATTTTAGACTTATTACACATACAAAAAGGGTGTTACTATTAGTAAACATATGATAAATGATATATACTATCAATACGTGTTATATACTATCAATACATGTTATATAATATCAATACATGTTATATACTATCAATACATGTTTAATATAATATCAATACATGTTATATACCATCAATACATGTTATATAATACCAATACATGTTATATAATATCAATACATGTTATATAATATCAATACATGTTATATAATATCACTTCAGTTTGGGTGTGTTAACTCCCAGATACATTTGCTGGATGGTTATAATCACATTGCATTTAACAACGGTACGGTGCTGAGTCTGGTCAATCATGTCAAAACGTCAGTTGATGTGATCAATGTTGTAATGACCAACACAGATATTGAGATGATTGATTAGGCTAGCGAGAACGTTGCTAGATTTGTTATATAACTTATAAAATGTGTGTATATTATCGCTGAAATGAGTGTGTATGTAATATATATAGAATAATGACAATGTCAGAAATTTGATTGGGTACAGCTAAGTTGATGTGATTAAGGTTGGTATGATAAGGTTGAGTTCTCGAGATGCATGATCTGGCTTGGTAATCTCCAAATGTTCTTAAGAAATAAAGACAATACTGAAAACTTTGTTCGTCACGTAGACTCGTAGTCATGGCTCCTTTCCTCTAGAAACATGTGCCATTCCAGATCCTAGAGACTTTGTTTTGCCCATAAATACTCTACAAAAGGAGTACTATTAATATGGGGTTCGTTGGATTCCACTCTAAAACATAGAAAATGTCTTTCCATGAGTTATGTTGAAAAAGGGACGGATTGCCCCGAAAATCTTACAAATTCCTTTGTCTGCCCTGTCGTGTATCTGTATCTGTATGGATACGCTGAAGTAACCAAAACGGGTGTGTTACAGCGGGTGAGAGAGAGCGCTAATAGTTAATAGCTAATAGATTCGAGGGCTGTCCTCGACACTACTGCATTTGATTATGGTGTCTGGTAGATGGTTCCAGTCTATTACAATACGTATAAAGAAGGATTCTCTGTATTGGTCTGTTTTATAAGCTGGTGGTTGGAATCCTCTCCTGTTGTTACACACAGAGCTATCGACGATGTCGATTATACTGAAGTCTTTATAGTTTGTAACTCTGATGTTACGGCCTTGTCTCCTCGGGTTCAAGTACTGAGATGGGGGTAGTGCTGGCACTGACCCTTCAATGACTTTGTATAGATAAGAAAGTCTGATGTTCTGCCGCCTCTTATCAAGGGGTGGTAAGTTGAGATCTTTGAGTATTTGTGTCAAACTTCCCGGTTGTCTTGCGGTATAGTTCCCCGACACAAATCTTCCAGCACGGTGTTGGATGCGTTCCAGTTAGCTGACATCTCCCTTCTGGTGTGGATCCCACACCACTGCCCCGTATTCCATAATGGGCCGTACCATGGAGATGTAGGCGGTGCGTTTGCTAGCTGTTGGGCAGCTTCGAATGTTCCGTCTGAGAAAGCCAAGTGTGGAATTTGCTTTCTTCGCCACCATACTGATATGAGAACCGCATTTAAGGTCTACGGATATTGTCACACCAAGGTATGGGTTTTAGGGTACTCTCTGAAGGATGGCATTCTCCAGTGTATAGAAATGGCTGCCCTTTCTACGCATGCTTAGGATGCAGCACTTCTTGGTGTTAAACTTTATACCCCACGTTTCAGCCCAGTGTGCTAGATTCTCCAGGTCTTGTTGGAGAATAAGATGGTCTTGGAAAGTCGCTATGGTGCGGTACAGTAGGCAGTCATCTGCGAACAGGAGGGTATGGGATCCAACGCACTCAGGTAGGTCGTCAATATGGCATAGGAACAAGATGGGTCCGAGGACGGTTCCTTCGGGTACCCCAGATTCAACTGCCACCTGTTTCGTTGTCTCACCCTCTAACACAACCTGCATGGATCTTGCTGTGAGGAAGTGTTTTAACCACTGGTGGATGTGCCCTTTAATACCATATGACTCAAGTTTATGCAGCAGCGTCCTATGGGGCACAGTGTCGAATGCCTTAGAGAAGTCTAGGATGACACAGTCTACCTGTTTGTAGGATTGTAGGAAGTCGTGGATGGTGGTGATTAGTTGGGATTCACATGAATAGCCCTTTCTAAATCCATGATTTAAGTCTGTTAGAATGTTATTGTCCTCTAGATGGCACATGAGAAGACGACATACAATGTGCTCATGGATCTTACATGAAACACATGTTAGGAAAATTGGCCGATAATTCCCTGCCTGATGTATATCGCCCTTCTTGAAGACACTGGTGATATACGCTTTGAGCCAGTCTGATGGGAGTGTACCCGAGTCGAGGGAACGCTGGTAAATTACACTCAGGCCTGGTGCAATGGTCTTAGCGCAGTTCTTGAGGATGATGTTTGGCAGGGCGTAAGGACCTGGAGCTTTGGCTGTGTTGAGGTTTTCCAGGAGTTTGGTAATGCCTTTCGAATCTATGACGATGTTCTGAAGTGGGTGATAGATATGTTTATCAGCCATATCTGGAAGTGGGTCATCAGGGGATTCTCTCGTGAAGACGGACTGAAACTGATGTAGCAGGATATTTGCCTTCTATCACTAACTAGCTGGGTTCCTTTATCTTTCAGAGGAGATACTCCGATGCTGTCCTGTTGTTTTGATTTGATAAGGCGCCATGACGTCGTGATGTCGTCTTTAGATATATCTATCTAAGTCATACGAATCCAACGAAAATTTATGTGATACTGTCGCTATTACTTATGAACTTACTTGATGCTATTAGTCGCTACAAGGCAGATGATCGCAGTAGCGGTCCATGCATCCCTAATACTTTCCTGTTACTTAATACCGAGCTCATTAGCGGGATTGCCGAACACTATATATATTGCTTTCATGAACTTTCGTTACTGGTGCAAGCAATTCATCCATACCTCTCTAACCCAGGTTAACTAAGAAAGCTGATGAAACATTGGCATATAAGTGAGCTCATAGTGGCGTCAGAGCGAGTTGTAAAGGAGAAACCGGAATCACATGCGGTAAAGGTAACATCCGGAACACCTCGAGCCTTTCTCTGAGAAAAAAACCCTCGGAGGAGGTGAATGTTTGGTTACAATTACAATAGTCTAATTAAAGCTATCCAATAAAGTTTGTTTTATTTCTGTAACACTGGTGCTAACATTGACAGGGAAGTCGAATTTATCCGAGTTGATAAGTCTGAGACAGAAAACTCATATCTGAGTTCCAACATAGTAGAAAAGGGCCGAGGGCGGCCCCATTTTAAAGCAGATGACTCCAGACCTGTGTCTGTGTTATCTGGTCTAAGCAACACGTATAAGTGACTGTCACTTTGGTTTCATTTTAAACAGACAACCCTACGAAATATTGTTGATAAATGGCTTAAAACACGATTAAAGTCAAATAACATATGTACTCAGTATTGCCTGCGCAGTTAAAGTGCCTGGTGCTTTTACACAAGCTTATGACCTTTAGATTTTTCCGTTCTTCATGTATAAAAGCCGGTTCGCATGCTTTGTAGCTATTGAAACTATAAACAGTCTCTAACTTGTTTTTGTTCTGTGTTGTATAATTGGTTAAACAATGCTAGAAATGCCGACATGTAAATGTTTTCAGGAAGAATTACCTGAAATAACTGTACTGATGTACCTGTGTAGTATCAACTGTGTGAGTATATAACGTTTGTAACTAAACATGCTATGCACATGCACTACTGAAGGGCCGTATTGTTAAAAGGATTTCCATACGTCATGTCACCCTTGATATATAGGAACATGTTGTCATTATTATTACTAACAAACACACAGAGATTTATTTTACTTTCTTTATTATACGGCGCTGTAGATCACGTGACGTTCCCTTCTTACACACATTACTTACGGATGGTGTGTTTACTCTGCTCAGGAATTTAGTGTGTTGCGTGATGTCATTACACATAAAATAACTATTTTTTGCCCACACATAACTATACACTAAGTAGTGTTAACTTTATGGCTCTTTATTAACTACACTATAATAGCGTCGTGTCCATACTAGGAGCTGACAATTCTGGGTCGTGGACCCCAACAGGGTACTGTGTTACTTATCCCCATGCCCATTAACAGGACTATAGCCAGTCCTAGCTGTTGTTTAGTTTGATTTGTTAGCATTATCTGGCACTGATATTCCCACGTTATCCTCCTAACTTTTAGAAATCAACACATATATCGCATATTGGGGCGTGCAAAGCTTACGCATCCTGGTGATGCGAGGTTGGGTGCATTTGTGTCAGCGAGTTATATGTCTGTTTAAGTGTCCTTAAGAAAAGACGAGCCCCAATCCGGAAGTATGTGTATGGACTTCAGACGACCAGCTACAGTAAAGTAAGCGTGTAGACAATTGGGATCACACAGATATATTTCCAGTGTCTACAATGTTCAGAGATACAGTGCTGTGGTGTATAGCGATTGTTACCATTGTCTGGATCACACTCACCTCAGGAGGTATGTAACAATGTTCATTGTCGATACTAGAATGGTGTACCTCTGTTAATTATTCCTGTTAACATGCTTCATTCATCTACTCGTCTACACGAGGCAGTAACATAAAATACAGGCTAAAAAACAGGACAGATATTTACATCGTTTATACTGACGTTGTCGTATTCATTTCACTTTTTTGTTATTATTCTGCTCCTGTTGGTTATATGTCATCTGATTGATTTAAAGTATCCTGAAACAATAACGATATGAAGGGTCAAAGTATCCGGATTAGTCATATGATTTGATGTATATCTGAAACCTGTTGATCAATCAAATATCTGTTGATTCTCCTGTTTTTTCACTTGACCTTATATTCCTCTTGCTCCGATCCAGAACCGTGTGCCCACGACGTCCGCCTGATACAGAACCAAACTGGATACTACGTCACATGGTCACGTCTAGGAGATTGTGGTGACTCCTGGATACGGACCGACAAAAACGCAGATAGTGTATTGGTATCATCACCTATGCTTATACAATTGGGCTCTAATCCAAGAGTAATATGTAGAAATAAGACATGTGAAGTCACTAATATTAACGTCACTACAGGTAAGATGTCTTTCTACAAAGTATTGTGTACTGATAGCAGTGGGAATAAAGACATAATTAATAATCAGTGTGCACTTATGTCACTTTAATCTTTAAATATTTATTGCTAGAAATTATATGAAAATGTATATTTCATGTTTCATCTTGTTCACGTTATGAGTTTTCTATAAGGACTATAAATACAAGAGTTTGTAATGCATTTGATCATGGACTGTATATATTGAAACCTAGTATTAAGTTTTATCACACTTGTCGAACGGCCTTTATATAAATCTACAAAACGAAAAGTACAAAACCAACCAATAACAGCACGACCGTTATACAGGCCTCTCTTTGTAAAGCGACCCTTACATCTACCAGCAATGTCTTCATCTACATATAACAGGAGTCACAGTGAACAGCCTCGATTAAAATGGTCAGATCAGCCAATGACAGCAAATAAGATGTTCGGCTCTTACATAAGTCAACTGACAAAAACTAATTTAACGACCAATAACAGCAACAACATTATTTTTTTTCCAATCGAAAACTGTTTGGTATTTGTGTCATAATATTGGAGTAGTCGTAGACAAACCATGTCGTGACTTCAAATTATGACGAAGTTACCGAAAGGTTGCTTATAGATGTTTGTCGTCTGACGGAAATAGTAACCATAGAAATCTCTATCTTATAACCGTAACATACACTAATCCCATGCATAGTGATTTGATTATTTGAATACATTATGAACCACAATACACCTCCAGAAAATATTTAAATACCTTAATTATCTCTTAGTTACCATCACCAATGTTTAAAGAAAAAAAACCATCTCGATCTACATGCATAAGTCCTGCTATTTTGTTGTACTCGAGTCGTGTGTGATTATCAAGTACGTTTGTATGCGGTTATGATTTATCGCAGAAAACCCTCCATTTTTGTAGATCAGTCAGATATTGTCCGGTTTATTGGTCAGTCATGTCATGTCAACGGCACTAGTGGTAGGTTTAGAAGTTCGTGTTGCGTGTACTCCGAACAAAACTATGAAATTGTCGGGACCGTTAGTTTTAAACCATTGCAGAATGTTTAATATAATTAGACGATGTGTTACATATTTCACACATATGTCTGTATCATCGAGGTCAATGTCACAACAGGGGTCGACATTAAAATCATTACCCGGAACTTTTAGATCACCTAACATTATTGTGTAATTAGTGCTACAAAAGTGTGTTACATGCTATACACATCTTCGTACATTAATGTCAAGGTTACAGCAGAAGGTAAAAGGTCAAATATATACAAACGTGTTGAACATATATTGACAAGTTTCTTTAGATATTATGGTTTTGTCACGATTACACATGGCGGAGCACGTAGGTTGGAAACTTCTGATAGGTGTCACAAGGAGTCAAACGTGAAATCATTATAACCAAAACTTGTTAACCACAAATCATGTTGTTTAATGAAAGGTCAACGATATCCATTGCATAACACGGGGTGTATCGCTCACCACACACGTCTGTACCACCACCGGGTGTATAGCTCACCACCCACGTCTGTACCACCACCGGGTGTATAGCTTACCATACATGTATGTACCACCACCGGGTGTATAGCTTACCACCCACGTCTATACCACCACCGGGTGTATAGCTCACCACACACGTCTGTACCACCAACGGGTGTATAGCTCACCACACATGTCTGTACCACCAACGCGTGTATAGCTCACCACACACGTCTGTACCACCGACGGGTGTATAGCTCACATCACACGTCTGTACCACCACCGGGTGTATAGCTTACCATACATGTATGTACCACCACCGGGTGTATAGCTTACCACCCACGCCTATACCACCACCGGGTGTATAGCTCACCACACACGTCTGTACCACCGCCGGGTGTATAGCTCACATCACACGTCTGTACCACCACCGGGTGTATAGCTTACCATACATGTATGTACCACCACCGGGTGTATAGCTTACCACCCACGTCTAAACCACCACCGGGTGTATAGCTCACCACACACGTCTTTACCACCACCGGGTGTATAGCTCACCACACACGTCTTTACCACCACCGGGTGTATAGCTCACCACACACGTCTTTACCACCACCGGGTGTATAGCTCACCACACACGTCTGTACCACAACCAGGTGTATCGCTCACCACCCACGTCTGTACCACCACCGGGTGTATAGCTCACCCCCCACGTCTGTACCACCACCGGGTGTATAGCTCACATCACACGTCTGTACAACCAACGCGTGTATAGCTCACCACACATGTCTGTACAACCAACGCGTGTATAGCTCACCACACACGTCTGTACCACCGACGGGTGTATAGCTCACATCACACGTCTGTACCACCACCGGGTGTATAGCTTACCACACACGTCTGTACCACAACCGGTTGTATAGCTCACCACACTCGTCTGTACCACCACCGGATTCATAGCTCACCACACACGTCTGTACCACAACCGGATGTATAGCTCACCACACACGTCTGTACCACCACCGGGTGTATAGCTCACATCACACGTCTGTACCACAACCAGGTGTATAGCTCACCACACACGTCTGTACCACCAACGGGTGTATAGCTCACCACACATGTCTGTACCACCACCGGATGTATAGCTCACCATACACATCTGTACTACCGACGGGTGTATAGCTCACCACACACGTCTGTACCACCACCGGATTCATAGCTCACCACACACGTCTGTACCACCAACGGGTGTATAGATCACCACACATGTCTGTACCACCACCGGATTCATAGCTCACCACACACGTCTGTACAACCAACGCGTGTATAGCTCACCATACACATCTGTTCTACCGACGGGTGTATAGCTCACAACACACGTCTGTACCACAACCAGGTGTATAGCTCACCATCCATGTCTGTACCACCTCCGGGTGTATAGCTCCCCTCACACGTCTGTACCACCAACGGGTGTATAGATCACTCCACATTGCTGTACCACCACCGGGGGTATAGCTCACCGCACATGTCTGTACCACCTCCGGGTGTATAGCTCACCATACACATCTGTTCTACCGACGGGTGTATAGCTCACAACACACGTCTGTACCGCCAACGGGTGTATAGCTCACCACACACGTCTGTACCACCACCGGGTGTATAGCTCACCGCACATGTCTGTACCACCAACGCGTGTATAGCTCACCACACACGTCTGTACCACCACCGGGTGTATAGCTCACATCACACGTCTGTACCACCACCGGGTGTATAGCTCACCACACACGTCTGTACCACCACTGGATGTATAGCTCACCACACTCGTCTTTACCACCACCGGATTCATAGCTCACCACACACGTCTGTACCATCAACGGGTGTGTAGCTCACCACACATGTCTGTACCACCAACGGATGTATAGCTCACCATACACATCTGTTCTACCGACGGGTGTATAGCTCACCACACACGTCTGTACCACCACCGGATGTATAGCTCACCACACACGTCTGTACCACCAACGGGTGTATCGATCACGACACATGTATTTACTACCTCCGTGTTAATAGCTCACATCACACGTCTGTACCACCACGGGGTGTATCGCTCACCACACAAGTCTGTACCAACACTGGGTGTATAGCTCATCACAAAACGTCTTTACCACCACCGGGTGTATCGCTCACCAAACATGTCTGTACCAACACCGGGTGTATAGCTCACAACTCACGTCTGTACCACCACTACATCACACACAAAATACACGACAGAAGTTCTGTTAGATTCTCTGTTAGATAGTTAGTCAATTTGGTAAGAAGAATAAAACGTTGATATTCAAACAAATCATTCCTAACGGTTCCATCTGCAAAATGCCGACTAGGTTGCTTTTTTCTCCGTTGTTTCCCATATTTACCATCTACACCGATGACTCCTTCTTTATTCCCCTATGCGAATCTCACCTAAAGCCATCATTACTTTTTGCTACTGAGTTCTTTTCTCCCAATTCTTGGTATTTAAAGTCCCAAGTACATCTATACATCAGCACGAAATCCCGAAAATGCAACTTGCTAATCGCGTCATTCCAATCCTAGATGCAAATTCGGTAAATCATATCTTGTTTTCAAAGGAAGGATGTCGGCGTCTTAATATCCTAACACGGTACAGGTTGGATGGTTGCTACTGAGGGAAATATTGCATATAAATGAAAAGAGTAAGGAGTGTAGCATATGTCAAAACTCTGTAATACCCATACAAACATTGAATTTGCAAATTCTAATTGATCTTTATTTCTTGTCAAAGCTACATCAACTGTATGGACCACTCGGCCGACAACTTCAGACCGTTTAGTGACAACATCATCGAGGAATGTACCTACTTCAAACACAGTGACCCCAGCACCAAGGGGACCTGTTAATGAGTTCCCGACACTCCTGGTGGCCGTGTCTGTCTGTTCTATTGTGGTACTGACTGTGGTAGTCATACTAGTAGTGTTTTTAGTCAAGACTCGTCGTACACAACCAGGTATGTATAATAACGGCGTGCTCATTGATATATCAAGCATCCTCGTTTGTATAATTATGTTTCGATATGTAAGGTGGTTCATGCAATTTCCTCGTCGATTTTGCTCCATACTCTGGTCAAAAATTAATAAATGCATACCAGGGCAAACGTTGTGAATTGAAGTCACGTCATATCTGTAAAATTACACTTTAAAATACTGCTTTCAGATAAGACAGCAGCTCCGGTGGTGAACAGTACAAGGTCTTTGAGACGTGAGGACATACAACACATGGGTAGGTGTGTTAGGTTGTGTTATTACTTAAACACAGATATTTTAATGAAACGTGTATATTACAATAAAGACTATTGTTAGATTAATTATACGAATAGTATATTGTCTAGGGATCTAACATATGTCTCTCAATATATAATTGAGTAAAACTAGTTTTATCAACGTATAGCGCTAATATGAAAATAAACAAGATTTAAAACTTAATTCAATACTAAAAGACTACAGCAGGGACAAAGTGTATACTAAAAGCAAAAAAACAACCAAAAACGCCATTAGTCTCGAGTAAGGATAATATATACATGTAGTATAATATTTAAATAATCAATATGCATTTCGTCCACTTATATTGAAACATTTCCGGTAGTAAACATTGACTGCATCTTAGATTCTCAGATAAGATTTAAACTTTTTCGCCAGTAAAACTTGATCAGGTAGTTTATTGATCGCCTATCTTTAGTTAGTAGTTATGTTTTGGATATGAGGTGGTTCATACGACTTCCTCGTCGCTTCTATCTCCTTTTAAAACGTGTGCAGGTTCTTAAGTAGTTGTTAAACTACGACATGCACGTTATAAGTGAGGACATGGACGTTGCGGATCGTGAATCGAAATCGTCATTATATAGAACAGTTTTCCTGAAGGTAGTACGTCTCATACAAACAAAGATATTGATCGCTACGTGTCGGTGAGACAATGACTAGTAACTAGATAGTAACACTAAGTTGAATGCGCTTCTATTTATGACAGTGTCCACTGACGAGCCAGGTATTGAGGAGGGAACCTATACCGAAATAGGCGCGGTCAGCCATCCCCCACGTGATTTGTATGCTGTAGTAGTAAAGAAACAAGACATAGCCGACACGTCAGCTGTCGAAGATGCATATGCAGTCGTCCAGAAACCTCCAAAGGGTAAGACTACCAAACGGTCTGATACACAATGAAGTTACGCGGAACCGACATAGGATATTACTAAGTGTTCAAAACTCAAATACATTCTATATAAATATTTTCATTACTATCCGTATATCATAAACGGTCCTAAATTCACTAAAAATAACTTCCGGCTACCAGCCGCAAGAAGGGTTTGCTTTAACATTTGAATATTATATCAGTAATGACTGGTGTTCTGTTCTGTTTTCGTGTAGAATTGTTTCCTGATGACTTTCCTGTGATGTGATGAGTAGTTGTTAATCTTTGTGTCTTGTGAAGTAACGGTCGATTGTCTCGAAAATTTGACAAATTCCTTACGCTGTTAACGTAAGAATGATTCTGTTAAGTTCATTGATCCGAAATGCAATACATTAATATATATAGAAAAGTAAAAATAATATTGGTGACAATATTTAATGTCAATTGTTTTGAAGCAAGCTGCATATATATCGATTGAACGACGTTTTTTTAAATTATCATGTCGATGTGAACACAAATCGGTTACATCCATATTAAACATGAATCCGTTAATACCGGCATAACATTTTCAAAAACGCCGTTCAATCCATATGGTTACATTGTTTCCACTGAAAAAATGTTTAATTTTATTCATTTTTTCTAAAGTAATTGAATTTATTTACTGCGTTTTGTATATGCGTCGTCCTTTAAACGACATTGGCGGAACCGCCCTATTTAAATAAAATTTGGCGCCAATGATTAAACGGAGTCACGTGAGCGTTTGACGCAGGGACATACTCCAACTTATCCGAAGCGAGGCGACAAGATTTACATTACACATGGTTAATCTATGACGTCATAAGTTAGCACGTGTTACGTCACGAGCGGTCTTGCTTTCAAACTCAAATGAAATGCATTTCTGCTTGTAATGTTCATATAGAATGGGTTGCAGCGCAAATTCAAATATACATGTATGCTCCCAGAACAACTACATTGTAACTACTGTAGACCGGTATTTCATTGTCATCTGTAGAGTCTGGTCATACTGCTGACCCGGGGTCTATGTATGCCGAGGTACAGAAACCGTCAAATGGTAAGCGAAGTCCTATACAGAAACCTTCAAATGGTAAGCGAAGTCCTATACAGAAACCTTCAAATGGTAAGCGAAGTCCTATACAGAAACCTTCAAATGGTAAGTAGAGTCCTATACAACCACTATCAAATGAAAAGGGGAGTCCTATACAACCACGATCAAATGGTAAGGGAAGTCCTATACAGAAACCTTCAAATGATAAGTAGAGTCCTATACAACCACGATCAAATGGTAAGGGGAGTGCTATACAGAAACCTTCAAATGATAAGTAGAGTCCTATACAACCACGATCAAATGTAAAGGGGAGTCCTATACAGAAACCTACAAATGGTAAGGGGAGTCCTATACAGAAACAAGCAAATTGTAAGGGTGTTCTATACAGAAACCTTCAAATGGTAAGGGGGTTCTATACAGAAACCTTCAAATGGTAAGAGGAGTCCCATACAGAAACCTTCAAATGGAAACCAAAGACCTATACAGAAACCTTCAAATGGTAAGGGAAGTCCTTTAAAGAAACCATAAAATGTAAAGGGGAGTCCTATACAGAAACCTAAAAATGGTAAGGGGAGTCCTATACAGAAACAAGCAAATTGTAAGGGGAGTCCTATTCAGAAACCTACAAATTGTAAGGGTGTTCTATACAGAAACCTTCAAATGGTAAGAGNCACAGAAACCTTCAAATGTGAAGGGGAGTCCTATACAGAAACCTACAAATGGTAAGAGGAGTCTTATACATAGACCTTCAAATGGTAAGGGGAGTCCTATACAGAAACCTTCAAATGGTAAAGGGGTTCTATACAGAAACCTTCAAATGGTAAGGGAAGTCCTATACAGAAACCTTCAAATGGTAAGGGGAGTCCTACACAGAAACAAGCAAATGGTAAGGGGAGTCCTATACAGAAATCATCAAATGGTAAGGGGGTTCTATACAGAAACCTTCAAATGGTAAGAGAGTCCTATACAGAAATCATCAAATGTAAAGGGGAGTCCTATACAGAAACCTACAAATTGTAAGGGGGTTCTATACAGAAATCTTCAAATGGTAAGGGAAGTCCTACACAGAAACCTTCAAATGTAAAGGGGAGTCCTATACAGAAACCTACAAATAGTAAGAGGAGTCTTATACATAGACCTTCAAATGGTAAGGGGAGTCCTATACAGAAACCTTCAAATGGTAAAGGGGTTCTATACAGAAACCTTCAAATGGTAAGGGAAGTCCTATACATAAACCTTCAAATGGTAAGGGGAGTCCTATACAGGAACAAGCAAATGGTAAGGGAAGTCCTATACAGAAACCATCAAATTGTAAGGGGTTCTATACAAAAACCTTTAAATGGTAAGGGAAGTCCAATACAGAAATCATCAAATTTTAAGGGGGTTCTATTCAGAAACTTTCAAATGATAAGGGGGGTTCTATACAGAAACTTTCAAATGGTAAGTGGAGTCCTATACAGAAACCTTCAAATGGTAAGGGGAGTCCTATACAGAAACAAGCAAATGGTAAGGGGAGTCCTATGCAGCATCCTACAAATTGTAAGGGGGTTCTATACAGAAACCTTCAAATGGTAAGGGGGTTCTATACAGAAACCTTCAAATGGTAAG